TCGATCACATTTATTTTACATCTCCGTCTTTAAGACAAAAGTTCTGGAAAATATTAGCGGTTCTTGTTCGTTTTGACTTTGTGTGGCAAGGCCTAAATCTTTGCATTAATAATAATATGTGATGATTTAAGAAAATGCAAACAGACAATATAAAAGCACCCTTTAAAATAGCTTTACTCTTAATAGTGCAAAACACATTTTGTACAAACAAATTGAAATAATCCATATTCCTGTTTTCTGCATATGAATGCATTCAAATCTAAGGAGGAAATGAATTACAACCTTAGAACACAATGGCCTTCAAGTACAACGCCTTTCTTCACAACCTCAAAGCTGAAGTCCACAAATAAGATTTTGCCTTGAAGCAGTTCACTTCCTCCCCCACTTGTCACATAGCATTTATCAGCAGCGCCAAACCAAATTGACTAAATTGATGTAATTCCCCTCCACTAAAATCTGCCAGGTACCCCTGAAGAGTTGATATGCCTATTTATAAATGTTCAGCCTGGCTAAACACATCAGTGTTGTCACACTGGAAACTGAAGCGAAGAGAGCCAGTGGATGGATTCCACCAAGGGGGGAAAATAAAAATAAAAAAATACAACCCTGGCTGCACTGATGATGCTCGACGTTAAATGCTTTCTTTTGTTAGGTACACAATCAGCTGCAAAATGGTGATAAGAGCATAATTGCGGAAAGATGTTTCTGATTATATGGAGCAGAGGGTCCGTCGCCGTGAAGCAAACGAGTGATTGGGTCTACTAATGAGCCAGAGCAACAGTTCAGAGATTGTGTCGTTATCAGCAGTGCAGCAGAAACTCCTGCTTAACAGGAAAAATAAATATGTCACAAAAAAAAGACAAAACAGTTAAACTGCGTCTATAGATTTTAAAAGTAGATTATAATATAAACACTTTTATTCCAGGTTTTTTTTTTGCAATATTTAAAGCGGCAGTGTGTAAGAAATTTGCCTTTTTATTATCAAAAATCAAGTATTTATTTATTTTAGTACTTATTTTGCTAAAGTTTCATAATGTAACATCAAATATGAAAGCATCAGAGGTGGAAAGAGTACTAACTAATTGTAATTGAGTAAAAGTATCTTTACTTTGCCTAAATTTTGCTCAGAGTAAAAGTAAAATTACCCGTCTCAAAATTTAATCAAGTAAAAGTACAAAATTACTTCATTTAAAATATAATTTGAGTAAAAGTTACTTAGTTACTTTGAGTTATTTAATGCAAAAAATGATGAGTCATGAATCGAATTGACCACAAGGTCATTTAATTGATTTCAAGGTAACTCAACCACAGAAAAATGAAAGTAATAAACTCACCGTTGAGTTAGCGTTAGCTTCAATGACCGGCTCCGTCATGCTGGTTTTCCTTCCGTATGAGCGCCGCAAGCGTCACGTCACGTGACTAAGAAAACGTAACGGGATTGGCTGGGTGTTGGACGCCACAATCCATTGCTAATGTCTGTGACCTGAAGTAACCCCTTCCCTTTTTACACTGAATTTAGACGCTGAATTTAATTGAATCTCAGGAGGCTGAAAATATTGAGTTTGAATTTGAAAGGTTGAACCTTCTTATATGCAGATTTTTTAACACTCAAAAATTCAACTGAAAAATAAGTATTGAAAATGTAATCACCCTGAAATAGTAATGTGAATTTTTAGCTTCAAGAGAAAATAAC